TTTTTTATTTATTAATAAACTAAATTCTTTTTTTTACATTAGATTTTTAATATATAATTATTTTATACATTGATTCTAATTTTAATATCTAAATTTAAATGATATTAATTTATAAGCCAATCAAAATTAAAAATCCTCTTTTACATAAAGCTGAATTTAGACAAATTATAAAAAAAATATTAAGTAATTTGAGATAAAGTATTTAAATTTAGTAAAATATCAATTAAATTTTACTCATTATATAGTTCTTCATATTTATATCCAAATAGTAAATCAAAAATAGTTAGTTAATTTTTTATATTGATGTAATTTAAAAATAAAGCATAAGCATATTCTAAATCAAAACCTAAATTTTTTTCAATTAATATAGTTACTTGTAAAGCTTTTTAATAAACATTACTTTTTAAAAAAGTAGCTAATAATAAAATATTGTTAATAAAGTAAATTAAATTATTTATATAATAAATTATTTAATATTAATATACTAAAATTAGAAATGTAAAAAAAACAAAAAAGATATTTATTATCTTCAAATTCTTCAAATTAACTATTTTATAATAGTATAATAATAATTATAAAATTTATAATTAAAATTATATGGTAATTTTTTTAGAGTAATAAGTTGAAATAAATGCATATAATAATTTAAGGTACTATATAAACTTTTAAAGAAAAAATGGTCTTTCTTATTAGATTTAATATAAATACTAAAATTTCTAAATCTGAGAAAAAATTACAATTTTAAATAATCAATTTAATTTGATTTGTTAATTCTGTACTTTCTATTACTATTTATAAAATTAATAAAATAACTTTAATAATTTTAAAAACTTAGTTTTTCAAATAATATTTTATATAAATTTTTTTAAAATTAATTTTAATGTTATTATAGAATTAATTGATTTATTTAAAATAGTCATTATATATTATTATAGAACTAATTATCGAAAGATATTAAATATAGCATTAAGAAATCAATTATTAGAAGTCATTTAATGATATTTTAATTAATAATTATTTATTAAATAGTAAGATAATAATAGTGAGACAAAGTAATTTAATGTAATATAAGATAATATAATACAATAAAAAGTAATGTTATAGTTATATAGTTAAGATTGCTAGATAAAACCTAGAGGTTTTGCAAGTTATCTAAATAGAAAAAGTAAAATTTAATGAAATTATATTAAGATATTATTAAAAAATCTGTAAAATTCTGAAAAAGGTAAAACTATATCAATTATACAAATGTGAAATTATATCAATATCTTAGTAAAAATTTAACAAAATTATAGTTTAGACATTTTGCTAAATCTAAAATGAGTTTAGACAAGCAACCTTATATATAATTTTATTAGCCAAATTTAAGAAACAAAGTAAAAAGTAAAATATAGATAGATATTAAAATATGAGTTGTAAAAATTAGGTAGAATTATATACTAATAGTAAATATATATAGATGGTATAAATATACACGAATAGTATATATATATATAATAGTTTTGATAGCAAATAGTATTGAGTTAACCAGTTATACTATAATTACATTAATCTTTATAAAAATTATAAAGATAGCCTAGAAAATAATCAAGTTTAAGTCAACGGTCTTTTTGAGAAATTTGAAAAGAATTAGAAAAATATAATAATTTTAATAAAAAATAATCTTTAATTATATAAATTATTACCTGTATTTCTTAAAAAATCAATAATTAAGGATGGATTTGATAAACTGAAAGGTATAATACAATTTGCCCTAATTTTAAGTAAGCTTATTAACTTATATCTTACTGTTTAATATCTTTAGAATCATTAAATATTATAAGTAATTAAACTAAGCAAATAAACTAAGATTGATAATGCATGATAATTTTTTACTCTATTTTATAAATATCTTAATGTAAATTATATTAAGTCAATTAATATTATAATTATAACTAGAAAATAAATATTAAACACTATTTTATTTATTTCTTTTACATTTTTAAATAAATTATGTATTATAGGATCTAATAAATTAAATACAATCAATTAATTTTCATTCTCTAATTAAAATTTTATTTTCTTATATATTCTAATATTAATATATTAAGATAATCTTTTTAAAATTGAATAGCTAAAATTTGTACTTTTTAAATTTTTATTATTTATAAAATTTCTACTAATATTTTATTTTTCTCAAATACTTTATCAAATCTAAAATAATGATCAAGTTGTGTAAAATTAAATAAAAGAATATATTAAAGTAATTTTTATAAAGCTAAATTATCATTAATATATAATAAAAAAATGTATTATAAATTTTGCATAATTACTTTTTTCAATAATTTAATAAGTGAAAAAATGCTAATAAATTTTTAAATTGCAAATTAAATTTCTTTTTTTTCTTCTTATTTATATTTAAATTAATATTCTACCTAATAAAAATAATATATTATACTTTTAATACATTATTATTTTATTTTCAATATCTTTTATTTTTTATTTTATTATGTAAAATTTTGCATAATATAATACTAATAGCTATTCAAATTAATTTTAAAACTCAACTAATAGTTCGATAATCAATAATTTTTTCAAATTTATCTAAATAATAAACTTTAAGATTTGCAACTAAATTAATTATACTGAAAATATTGTAATTATTATATTATATATATTTGTTAAAATATATAATTATTTTAATTATCTATTTCTTTTAAATAAGATAATAAATAGTTATTTAAGATATTAATATAATTATTTGCACTTTGTCTACTATAAATATAGACTAAAGAACTTAATCTAATATTTTCAAACTATTATACTTTTATAATCTAATTTTAAAGTAGAAATTAAACAATTAATATTATATTTTTCTTAAAGTTTTTTCAAATATAATCACAACTAAAGTTCTGCATAATTCAGCTTAGCTTAGATTACTATTGGTTTAAGAAAAACCACTTTTTTTGGCTCAGCTTAGCTTATGAAGATCAATTGATAAGCTAAGCCAAACCAATCTGATTTATAAGCTAGTTTGTTCAACTTGCATTTATATTTAGAAATGAAAAACTATTGAGAGAAATATTTTTCATTAAGATAAGCATTTCTGAAATGATTCTCTTTGAAAGAAATATTTCTAGAATGATTCCTATTAAAAGAAAAGTTTTTAGATGATTTTCTTTAAAAGGAATATTTTCAGAATGATTTTTATTAAGAGAAATTTTTCAGAATGATTTCCTTTGAGAGAAACGATACTAAAATGATTTCTTTTGAGAAAAATGATTCTAAAATGATTCCCTTTAAGAGAAATGCTTTCAGAATGATTTCCTTCAAAAAGAATATTTTCAGAATGATTCTTTTCAAGAGGAATATTTTAGAATGATTCCCTTTGAGAAAATTATTTTTGGAGTGATTTTCTTGAAGAATTTCACTTTCAGAGTAATTTCTTTAAAATACTTCACTTTCAGAGTGATTTTTATAAAGAACTTTATTTTTGGAATAATTTTCTTGAAGGATTTCACTTATGAAACAATTTTCTTGAAGGATTTTATTTTTAAAGCAATTTTCTTGAAGGATTTCACTTTCAAAATGATTTTTTTAAAAAAATGCAACTAATGCCATTTCTTTATTCCAGTAAAAATATTTAATTATTTAACATTGTAATATTAAATTTATATTGATAAATGAATTTATTTTTATTTTTAATTTGCAAAAAAAGAATAATTACAAAAAGTTAAAATATTCTTAAAAAATAAAATAAAAATAGATATAAAAACTTTATAAAACTTAAAAATATTAAATTTTCTTAATTTATTTATATTAAAATAAAAATTAAACCAAATTATTTTTTAAAAATAAAATAATTTTCATGCATTTATTAATTGTTTACCTTTTAAACTACACTTTTTCTGAATTACCAAATCTGTTTTATCTGAAAATATTCTTTCTATTGATATACTATTAGCTAAAAAAAAAAAATAATAAAATTTATATGAATAATTATAAATTATAAAATAATATAATTAATATTTATATTAACTTGAAATAGCTAGTAATCTTTGGCCATTTTAGAAAGATTTAGATATTCATTTTTATGAAGCTTTATAATAATATTTATAAATTAATAAATTAATTAAATATAAGAATATATTAGTATAATTAATACTTAAATATTATACTTACTTTTACCATAATAAAATATCTGTTTTATTTAATATAAGTAACTCTTTAAGATAAACTTTAAGTTCATCTTTATGATATGTTTTTTTTTTTTAAATATATGATTAAGAATATCATTTTCTAAATTATCAGAAGAAATATTAGCATCTGCAATATTTTCATATTTTTTTTTCAAATAATTATTATAATATTTTTTGCTTTATTAATATAATATCTTTTCAAATTATTAGTTTTATAATATTGTAATTTTAATCATACATTTATTATTAATTAATTATAAATAATAATTAATAATAAAATAATATATAATTAATTTATTTAACTTTATAAATTAACTAACTTATAGCAATAATATAATTTGTTCAATCTTTAATGGATAATATTCTAATATTTTATTCTTTGTTAATTTAGCTACATTTTAATTTTCAATTATTAATATTATTATTAATTATATCATTAATTTTATCTATTAAATAATTATAAATTGGAATACTATATGAAAGCATAGAATATAATTGATCAATAATAAAATCTGATCCTTTTTTAAAAAGCAAAATAAAAAATTATTTGTTTAAATATTTTTTTTAGTTTATTCTTGTAGTTAAATGCCTAAGTATCTAAGATTGTAGCTTATACATCTATTCCTTAAACTATCTAGCAGACAAATTTGCCTGCTAAAATTTGTTTTGATCTGTATTTGTGTAACTACACGTGATTTTCTTAATTAATACGCCCACTTTTCTAAATAATAATAAAAGTGTATCACCTTACCAATAATGACATAATTTCCCTTTAATCTTTTTTTTAGTGATAATCTAAAAATCTCCACTCTATTAAAAAGTATGTCTTCTGCAGTAGGACTAAGTGTGCTGTCTTCAATTTTAACTTCAAATTTATTTTCTCTTGAAACAGAACAAAATTTTAATGAAGAGGAGAAATATATGCTACTTTTGACGTCTTGTCAACATTTTGTGAATCAGATATTAAGGAGGATGAAGAGAAGAATATCAGAAACATTTGTAAGGGTAGATGCAAACCAGTAAAAACTATACAATTATCACCCACTTCTAATTTTGAACATTTTGTTCATTCAAAATCATTACACTGGGCATTTATTAACTTACCGCTAAATTATGAAGCCATTTTTTCTAAACCAATCAATCTTTTTCTATTTTTTTTTTCTAAACTCCATATTAGACACAATAGTTGTTAATACAAATTTGTATGCATTAACAAAAGACGCTAGTGCAGTTGGTAGAAAGTGGCAAAATATAGACTGTAAAGAGCTTATTATCTAAATAGCTCTAATTATCTATTAAGGACTCTTTAAATTACCCTTATTTAATCAATATTGGAATAAAGATCCAAAGTTTTCCATCCATCATATTTCTAAACAAATGTCATTAAAATGCTTTGAACAAATCAAAAGATACTTACACATTTCTCCTCCCATAGCTACGATTAACAATTATTTTGAAAAACTGGAACCACTGCTTTCAAAAATTCGTGATGTTTTAAAATAACTTTACACACCAAGTTCGAACATTTTGGTGAATGAAATAATGGTACAATTTTTTGGATGAAGCATCCATACTATTCAAATAAAAAATAAACTAATTCCAGAAGGTTTTAAAATTTTATCTTTATGTAAGTCCGAATATATATATACTTTTTTGCTTATATCACATGTATCACTAAATAATATAATAAGAGTGAACGATTTTAATCAAACTGGATATCTTATTCACTATCTTGTTATGCAACTTCTATATCAGCAATTTTCATATAACATTTACATAGACAATTATTTTTCCAATGTCCCTCTTTTTCAGTATCTTCGACAAATAGGCATTAGTGCTTGTGAAACCATCTGAAAAACAGCTTCTGAATTTTCAAAAGAATTAAAGGTGGATAAAAATATCAAATTCGATTGGAATGTTCATTCTAGCATTATAATAAATGAAGTATTAGCTATTTTTTGGCAAGATAATGGATCGGTTACAATGTTATTAATGATTCATAATCTTATTGGAAGTAGAACAAGAAAGACGACGGCTAAGGAAGACAAGTACCAATGCAGTAAAGGTATGTTGAAGCAGAGTATCTTTTCAATTTTTTTTTGTTTTTTTTTTTTATTTTTTAATTTTTTAATAATTTGAATTTTTTTTTTGGTAATTTTATTATCAATTTATTAAATTGTAAGGCTACGATAAATAAATTTGTTCAGGAACAATACAATAG